TCTCTATGAAATTTGGCACAGGTTTAGAGCATAGTCTGGAAGAACACATAGGCTACTTTTTATCCAAGGAATAGTTAGGGTTCCCGTGGGATTCATTAATTTAGTTTTTTAATGTTTACTCGATAATTCTACAACGGTTCAACATATCTTATTGAAATTTGTCACAGATATAAAACAAAGTCTGGAGTACACATGAGGTAAGCTTCATCCCCGAGAAATGTCCGGTTCCCGAGGGATACGTAACTTTTTGTAATTTATATGGTTTTTATGTTTTCTAATACCACGCGGACGAAGTCGCGGGCAACAGCTCGTGTTACATAAAGCAAAATAATTTTTAAATAATATAAAATAACATCGATTGTTCTAATCAAATAATGTCTTATTTGGATTGTTAAGAAAAATTAGTAAATTATTTACACTGCTAGTCACTCATATAACTACAATAGCTTTTATTCAGAAACAATAGACCGAACCCACGCAGTTCATTGGTCACATAAATAATGTTATCGAGAAAAAATATTACCCAAACAATTGCTTAACAGTTTCCAATCTCCGAAACAATCGATTCAAGCATGATGGAAGTATTAGAGGCCGTAATAATTACAGTTGTATTATAATTAGCCATGGTTTGCTAAATTTAATGAGCTGCAGATCAGCTCACGGATCAATTAGTATACCGATTCATAGATCGGCACAATTTTTTCTGCATACAGGTACGGTTCGCATAAGTTGCGAGTCTTCAGTTCGCGGCTCCTCGACTATCATAGTACATCACGGTGAGCTGAGCTGGTAATTTCGTTGTCGAGCTTGTAGCTCAACGTTTCAAGACAATGTGAGTTAATCTGTGGAACCGGTTCAGAGCTGATTTACTCACGTCTCAATGTAATTGAGATGCATTTGCTACAGTCGTGACCAGTACCTTTAGCGAATTTTTATAGTAACAATTTCTAAAAGCGTTCGATGGTAAATATAGGTAATAAAAATACAGTGCATAGTTTTAAATCGAGTTTTTATTTTAACAGTATTCAAGTACAAAATTCATAGAAAATTATAGGAATAAAAAATGATCAACATTTATGAGATTATTTAGAAGTCATCTTACATTTTTTATAAAATTCCTAACAGCATAGAGTATCCATCTTTATTTTTATCCCAGGATTAAACATTTTCGTAGTGTAGTATAAATCACATTTGTCTTTACATAACATAAAAAAACTATAAAAACTAGTAAAACCATTAAAATTATATTAGCATAAGGTATTCACAGTCTTTATTAACAACTAAAAATAAGTTATAAGTTACCACGAACATTGGACCTCAACGGGAGGTTCCTAATTACGTAGACCACTTTCTACACAAACATCGTCCAGCGCAATGATCAGAACTCCATTTCACGCTTTATTAATTATTCTGAGTATTTTCACTTATTTCTTCAGTCAATTGTTTGTCCCCCTCATCAGCTGTAGAATCTTTTTTCTTTCCTGCAAAATTGAATATCTTCTCAAAATTTATCGTATTCTGATTGTAAACGGTATGATCGGGAGTATCGCCCCAACTAACCGGCGTCATTCTATCTTTAGCCTCCGGCTGTATCGTTTCTTGAACATTTATATCGATGCTGGCGACCTCTGGGATAGGATTCAGTACAGCCTCGGACTGCACGCTAGGAGTTCGCATATCCGAGTTCGAAATTCCTTCCAACGACGCGCAGCGGTTCAAAAAGTTCAACATTCTCTCCTTATAAAACTCAGAACTGGTCTCTGTGTTCTGTTTCGTTTTGTTATTTTGATTCTTCAAATAGAAACCGTTATCGCTTTGAGCCAAAAAGATTCTTTTAATTTTTTTACTCGGGTAATGTTCTATCAAATCCGGTTTTGGCGGCAAGAGCTTGCCGTTCCGCGGTATTTTATTAGTATTATTACCTTTAATAGTCGTAACTACAGAAATGCAATTGCCTCTTCTTTCGTTATCATCCTCTTTGTAATTATTCCTCATACCCTTGTAAGATATCTTTACGCTTAGAATAGACCAAAGCAGTTCGAGGAATGCCGCGATTAGTATGTTTATAGATAGAACACGTTTTGTAAACAAATGAGAATCTTCCTCTTTAGCTGTTGACACGTTGTTAGCTATGATAATATGAGACTCGTTCCTATCTATAACATCTGTGTGCTTCACCACGATGAAGTCTTTAAACGGCACTTTATCTTTGTAAAATTCCGATATATCCTCCTCCGATGTGGTTATAAACCACACGGCAATCATTACGAAGGCTATTAAAGCGAATAAAGTTGACAGTACAGACATAACGAAGAGCCAGGTGATGTTGTGGTCTACGTACCATCTCACAGAGGCCATGATAGCTGCCACTCCCGCCGCCAACGCGAAAACGGTAAGCAGAGACGGCGCTAAAACTAACATATAACTGTTTTCATTTTTTGTCGTCTCAGTGTCCGTTACATTGTAGTCAAGAACAGGATCCCCGTCGAACAAAGATGTGTTCTTAGCAGTGTGATTTGAATTCGTTTCGATGTCGGCATTTGGGTTAACTAAGGCTAAACAGGCGAGTAGGAACGATGTAGCGGCAAGTGCGATGTGGACCCAGGCTAAGCCAGACACCGTCGACGCCGAATACCTCCGCTCGGAGGGATATAAATTCCGCGTGTCGGGCTTTGTTTTCACTTTTATAGTATAAACGTCCTCCATGTTGTAATTACGAAATCATAACTATGTTTAAAGTTAGGGTTTAACCGATCGACACCACGAATGTAAACTAATTTAAACACTAGCACATTTTATCGTTCAAACACTAATGTGTACTTTCTATCGCTGCCTAGAGTCTACTAACTTGTAGTCCAACCGTTTGTCAACGGTCTTTTTTATAATTTTTTTGTTAAATACTCGTCACGTCACACGTCTCACACACTTGACGATTGTCAGCGCACTGAACTGAAGTTGTAAGCGCAAGCGCATGTACAATATTGCCAACTTAAATATAAAGCTCCCCATTTGTTAAGTAATACAATGAATGAAGCTTCTCACTTATTAGTACTATTCATCGTTACTGGTCACCACTTCCCCATCGTGGGTTGGTTGACTTTTTACAGATCTTTGAATTTCTTAGCTAATATATGCAGGTTGCTTCACAACTTTTTCCTACAGCGTAAGAACGTCGGGTATAAAAATTGGAACTATCAGAAATTTTAAAATTTCATCTCTGAATCATACCTAACTTAAAAGCCAAAAAGATGTAATTTTGCCAAAACCGAAAATATCATAATTATATTCCTAACTAATTTCTTATTTCCAATTATAATTTTGCCTTTAACATCTTATCACAAAACCATTCTTATTTGTTACTATCACCAATTGGAATTTTAAAGTTAAACTTGAATTTTATTAAATTACCCGACACTTGTGGAAAATTTAGAACCTAGCAACATTGTCGACCAAGTTTAGATTTGCCGATATGCGTTTCTAGTTCCTATTCCAATGAAATATGGTCTAGCCTGTTTTGTGACGAACAAAGAAGAATTCTTTTATTTATTAACATCAAGAATTAATGTTTTTCAACATGGACTTGCCGTCTCGATTCAATTTAATAGGATGTCAACTAGATATAAAGACCGATACACACGATAGCTTTTGTTTTACGTTTTTTTTTATTATAAAAACAAATACAATTATATACATCCTTAATTTGTCTAACGCTCAAATATTTTTATTAATATTCAGTTATTAACGTGTCAAATACAATGAAAATGTAACAAACGGTTCTTTATTAAAATAAAACGTAATATTTACAATACGGTGAGAGTTGAGCTGGTTATATAAAAACTGCGGTGATAGACTTAATTATAATATTAAAATACGCACTTCAATTCAACAACGGAATTTTGTATAAATAATTATGACTTGTAGGATTATTTGAAAACAGTTTGGATTCATTTAACCCGTTATTCTACAGTGTGTAATGAACAATTAATTTAATTATTTACTACTGAACTAGTTTTGAGAAAAACACGTAAGATTTTGGTAACATCTATACCTCTATCCTAATGTAATAAAGCGTAAACACACTACTTTCTGGCGTAAGATGTCAACAATCACAGCATATTTTTGAATAATTATTTCTCTAATAAAAATCTCCACATGTACGTCACGCTTTAGTCTTTATATCTTCACACTGTTAAACTTTTGGGGTCAATAAATTAAATAAAAAACCCTAATGTGGGAAAGGGACCATAAGCTACAAGGCAACATCAAGGAAGTAAGATTGCAATGGTTTGTCATCATGTTATATCATTTTGACATTTGCAATTGAAAATTTGACAAATGTAAACAATACAATTAAGTTTTTATAATTTCATGCGGATTAAGCCGCACGAGAACAGCTAGTAAATACATTTTTACCACAAAAATCTACGTCGAATAAATAAAATGATTTACTTAAAATTACGCTTCATTCAATTATACATGAAATAGCTAAAAAATACGATTAGGGCTAACATTTAATCTAATTGCAGTCGGTATCGACTTTAAATAAATGTTGACGTAAGAAATGACTCAACATAATTCACTTTAGTAACCGTTGTGTAGTGGTTCGTATTTGGTCAGGGATTTTTTTAATATTTCAAGAGATTCTTCAAATCATGGTCACAATCGGCACGAATTTTTTACAAACTTCAAATAGTAGGTACGAGTTAGTTGGCCAGTGTAGGACATAAAAAACTAAGTAGTGCAAGGGTTTGTACAGACCTCGAATAGATTTGTATGGGCTTAAATAACTGACAATTTAAAATTATAAATGTCAACGGTTTTATAGTTAAAAATAAACAAGACAACAATTTTTTTTTTAAATCTGACGCAGCCCTAACCCTAGGTGGAGATATACTAAATCTTGAAATATTCTCAATCTGTCTACCCCATTGTGTTACAGGAATGTTAATCTTTGAACTTTAAATTATCTAGACAGCTTTTCAAATGTTTACTATTCATAATAGATGAATAAGCAATTAGTATTTCAAACAAGGTTACGCTCAATACAACGTATATAGTCTCTTGTATTTCATATTTATGTACATAATACACAATAGAGCGTGACCGCGTGTACAATAAAATAAAAACTGTGCGATCAGCCCGACCTTGTCATCTGCGACCGCCTCGCCTTGGAGTCTTGAGTAGAACTGACATAATTGTGTGTGTACAGTTACACGCAAAACCATTTAAAATATAACAATGGGAAAAGAAGTCGAAGGAAGAATATGACCGCAGAAGCCTTTATTAGCCGATGATCCAGACTGGGTTTAAGGAAGGAGCACCTACAATTATTTAAAACGAGCTTTCTCCCGCGACTCCGTCCGCGTGGAATAAAAAAAGAACAAAATTGAGTAGCCTATGTGCTCTTCCAGACTATCGTTTACATCTATGCCAAATTTCATCGATATCCGTTGAACCGTTGAGGCTACAAACTGTTCAAACTGTAACAAAGATTCATCCATCCATCTAAACTTTCGCATTTATAACATTCGTAAGAAGTAAGATTTTTCAATCCTTTTTTTGTAATATAAGATGGCAAACGAGCAAGCAGCCACCTGAATCTACCGAAATGGAAAGCGACCGCTGCCCATAGACATCCGCAATTGCAGATGCATTGCCTACCCTTACTTGACGAAGGAAGAGACGCACATAAAGAGGTCATTTTCCCTTCCCATGCATCTCATCCACCATCAAATCCACTTTTCCTTCCCAACCTTTTCTCTAGATAATAACTTTAGGGACGTTGGTCGTCAGCTCAGTGAACCTGTCATGTACCAAGCTAAGTATTAACTTGAAGACATTAACTTGAGATTATGTTATACTAAAATGATTAGCATAATCTCATGAACATGCAAATTTTATTTATAAACATCTAATTACTGTATAAACTATAAAATAATGATTTTTTATAAAATATTTTTGTCTGTTATAAAATATGTTTGCGATTGTACATCTTATTCCGTAACGAAACCGGTAAAAAGTTGTGCATGCTAAACATACTCGTTTTCTTAAAACGTCTGTTTATACCTTATTAGGAATACATAAGGTTGAATGTTTATTCTGCACTTATAAAAAAACTTAAGTATAACAATTTGATTTGGCACATCGTTAACATGCGTACTCAATGGCCATACGTGCCAACTTAAGACCATCTTTCTCCAAACCAACAACGCTTGTATTGTAAAATAGAATGGACATCGAAAGTATCGGAACAACCAAGCGAACTTATAAATAGTCGTAATCAAGAAAACTGACGTTTTTTATCATCATGTAAGAAGTAAGTGTCTTTAAAAATATTTTTATTCTTCAGTAAACAAGGGTTTATAATGAAATCCGTGAGAACATTTTCGTAAAGTATGAGATTTGTATAGCGCTCCTACTGGGCATAAAGTTTACTATTGAATCTCATACAAAAGTCGATGAGATTACCGAAACTGTTCGCAATTGTGGCGCAAGTTTTCGTGATAGACGCTCAAAATGCAAGTCCGACGATCAATTCACTTGCCATAGTTTTTGTGTTGCCACAACAAAGGCATTTTAAATACTTTCTAAACTTCTTACGAGATACGATTGTATTAACTGAAAACACGCAAAAATTAGAAACATCTAAACAATGCTGAATAAAAAAGAACACTATTGTGTTTAAACGAGAAAAACAATGATTATTTCGTATGAAAGTTTCAACTCATTTAGTGTTACCATAGGCGACGTTTGGGGGAAAGGTGGGCAGTTGCCCCATATTAGAAAATCAAAAAAATATATATATAGTACAACTTGAAATAAGGCCTCGATGATCTCTCTTCTCTTATAAAAATCGATTTATCGCAACATTCAAAGTGTAATTAAATAGTCAATTCTAACGTACTTTGAGTTGCTTTATTTTATTTATTTTCTAGCTTTCGCCCGCGACTCCATTCTCATGAAATTAAAAAAAAAAAAAGTGAGTAGCGTATGTGTTCTTCCAGACTATCCTCTACATCTATACCAAATTTCATCGAGATCTGTTCAGCTGTTTAGACTACAAACTCTAACAAACATCCATCCATCTAAACTTTCGCATTTATAGCATTTACATCTTATGATACAATTAAAAAAATAACAGGTAAATAATAAGTTTTAAATATTTTAACAATGTTGGGAATCTCTGTTTTAATATTCTGTAAACAATCATGATTTATGGTTTAGAAATTTACATCTGCAGTCGATCTGTATAATACAAAACTGGTTTTACTGATTTAGAAATATCTAGGAAGCCTAAGGTTCTAACTTCCATCTACTAATCTAACTAAACCTCGGTTATTCATTTTGTCACCTTCGTATATGCCATTAAAGCTGCGAAAAGTAAAAAAAACATCGCAATTTGACTGTGGTTTCTAGCACTAGGAAAATTAAAATCTACACCGCATTTTCAAATATGGTTTTACTTCGAATCGGTCATCTCTTTCGACGTCTTACATAAAACAGAGATAGAAATATGTTTCGGCAGTCAAAACCGAACAGTTGAAGACATAAATATTACGTCACCCGTCGTAATCTCGCCGATTTTCGTTTACGCAACTTCACGGATCGTTTAATCTTATTTGCTACAATAAACGACACAAGACTTTGAAACTTGTACCAGATTAAAAAACGAAATCATTAATAATTATAACTATATGAATAACTAGCTGTTCCCGGCTTCATCCGCATGAAATTATGAAAATTTTATTTTACTATTTACATTTGTCAAATTATCAGTAGCAAATATCAAAATGACATGATATGAGAAACTTTGGTAATTTTGCTTCCTTGATATTGGCAGCAACTTATGGTCTCACATAAGGGTTTTTAACCAAAATATTTACCCCTAAGTGTAATGGCGTGAAAATATATAGTCTAAAGCGTGACGTAAGTGTAGGGCTTTTTATTAAAAAAAGAAAAATTCATAAATATGCTGTAACTGCTGACATCTTAGGCAACAAAGAAGTGTGTGTTTACGCTTTATTATAGTAGTATAAATTTCACTTAGCTAATTTAATATACATTAAGTTTTTTGCTATGATCGTAAGTACTAAATCAAATTAACAAAGATAATAATACATAATCAGTTTTAAACAGTAGTTAAATTATTTATCTGTTTGTATTATCATTATTTTCAAGTAATTTATAAACATAAGTATGCGAAGCTAAATAAAAGACGTCTGTGTAAAAAGCCGTTAAATTCAAAATGGCCGCCGTGAGTCGACCGGCCGCCTGACCCCGGCTATCTTGACAATTTCCTCTCAATAATCGGTTAACGGTACAATTCTAATTCCGTATCTTAATATTGGGCCAGGTCAGAACCATAAACAATATTTACTTTATAACGGTTTATGTCCTTTGAATTTGGAACGTTAATGGTCATTAATACACTATTATTAAGTTTCGCAAATAATAAATTCCAATTTGTAATAATTACTACGATGTAAATGTTATGTCATTGCGTACACTTTTCTCTTTTCGAATAGGTTAGAAAAAAAACAATTAATATTTAAGACTTTATTTGAATAAGTAAAAAAGATATTTTATAACCAGCATAGAGAAAATTTCAGTGTCAAGTCAAACATATTTGTTTATGTAAATTAAATTTCGTATCGTTCTAATTAAAGTAAATATAACTTGGATGATGACAGATTACACCTCGACACTTGACGCAGTTATTTATGTTGCTAGGACATTGACTATGGTGGCTTACCACTCCGCTCGAGTCAGGCGATGGTCCGCCTATAATTTTTTGGTGCACATATCCGTAACAATTGCATTTCTTTTTGTCATCCCTGTCCTGTCCTAAAGAGTATCCTACATCTGTAGCTGGACTCATATGTGGTCTTGTGACGCTGCTACGTTCCGTCAACTCTGGAGTCAAACAATAATCATTACTCCGTCTTCTCTCATCCTCGTACATACTATATCCATTTTGATCGCTACAAAAGTTCTGTCGTTTTGTCTTTGATTCGGAAATAGGTTTGACAAGAATTTCAGCTCTATCGACATTTCTTCCCAAACTTATATTTGATTGTCTATATCTTGTCACGGGTAATTTTCTTGACGCCCAAATTTCTTCTTCTACTGATTGGTTCATTGGGAAATTTGCCTCAGCCATTGAGATATGAGATATACATGGACTTTTTAAAAATTGTCTACGTGCTCTACAATGAGGAGCGGGCAAATCGACTTTACTGAACGGCAACGAGGGCACAGTTCGTCGTAGCTCGTTATGTATACCTTGCAACTCTTGGTGTGAGCCTACCATTTCGTTATCATTTGAATCCCAGTAATATTCTTTAACTATAATACGAGGAGATAAGTCACAGGCTTTTTCAGTTTGTGCACACTTCGTTTTAATATGTTTTTGACATGTGAGAGTATCTAAACAATTGTCAGTTTCTTTTGGAAGGCAACAATTAAATTCCGAACACGAAGGAGAATCACTTCTATTCTTTCCAGAAATCATATCTGGTCTTGCATTTATTTGGTTTTCAAAGACATTTGGAGGTCCATTAACTTGTACATCTTTGTTGCCCGTATTTAATTGTTGATATCTTATGTACTCACGGAAAGATTCTTTGAAATGATCACGAATTACATTTTCTCCATCTTCTACAGGTGCATCATAAGTAAACGTTTCTTTTGCGTCTTTGTTTATATTACTCGTTTGTTTGTCTAATTTTTCCACTGTTCGAATATTAGTACTATGTAAAGTTCTCGACACTTGTTGTAAAGCTTGTCTATGTGCTTTATTCATTTGATCATTGTTATATAATATTTTGAGTATGTTTTCAGTAATTTCTGGAAGATTTGGTTTATGTTCAGATAAAAATGTAAACTGTTTAAGTTTTTCTGTTATTTTGTCCCTCAAATTCGTATGTTGGATCTCTAGTGGATTTTCTAGATAATGTTGTATTAGATTCACAAAATGATTCCTCAGTAATATATTTTCTTCGGTAACCTTTAAAGGCAGCTCCTCCAAGTAGTCTTTGATTTTGTTTTTTGTATAATTGGTTTCGTCTGAATAATTTGGTGTTTTTTCCGGTATACGTATGTTTTGTAAGACGCTGAATAGGTTATCACACAATTTATCTGTATCTAAAGGTGTTGCAGGATATCTTCGTAAATAATCATTGCAAAATTTGTTGACTTCGTTTTTAAGGACCATTTTGAATCTACCCGTGTTCACATCCGTGGTTTTAAACAATGTAACAAAAGCCTCGACTAATTTTTCTTTTAAATCATTAAAAGAAGTCTGTTGATCTGAAGATAAAGTCGTATTCGTTGGTAAAGTATTCTCGATAATATCATAAAGCTGTTGTCTATAATTAGTTATAAATTTTTCTTTTTGCTTCATACTAAAAACGTCCTTCATAATGTCGACTAGATAATTTTTAAAAGAAAGAAGATTTCTTCTACAATGTTCATTTACTTTTAAATTATTAAGCAACTGTCCAACTTCGTTTCTTATGATGGTTTCATAAAATGTGTCTCCATTTCTCCAAGCATAATTCAAATTTTCTTTGTTAACTATGTTAACTAATCCAGATACGAGTTCTTCCCTAACTTTTCTTGCATCATCTGGACCTTGTGCCGAATCAATCGGAATGTATGCACATTTATTCGCTAACTCTGTTGCTAATAAGTTTGTACTATTATTACCAGAATAAGCGACGTTTACAGAATTATTTGTTCCGTATGTTTCTTTTGTATTATGTTTTAATATTATAAACAAATGTTCAACTAATATTTCTAATTTCTCTTCATTTTTGAAGTCATCCCTTAAGGGCAAGTCTTTGAGCACATTAATTACGACATTTTTAAAATGTTTGTTTGTGTTAGCAGATCCAAAATCATTGTCTAAATAATCAGATAATATTGAATAAATCCTATCAGCCGTCTTTCTAGCGTCGTGTGTGCTGATAGTCCACTTCAGTGGCAAACTCTCAATCCAAAAGGCTACATTCTTTTTTGATTCGTCAGGAGTTTTTCTTATGCTTCGAAGCATATTCAGATCTTTTAAATAATTCAACAGATCTATCGCCATTGTATAATTATAATTGTCTGTATTTTTAACTCGTGGGTTCAATGGTAATTCTTTCAGTCGTGATCCTATCGTTTTTAAGATGTATCTTTCAAAATCAATATTTTGATTTGGTGGTAAATTATTGTTAATACGATCTAAATCTACTGCGAGATTTTCCATTACAGTTTCTTGACAAATTTCTTCCTGTTTGTTACGTCTGTGATACATTTCGGAACCCTTTAACCAATTCATAAGCGCGTACTTTAAGGCATCAATATATTGACTCGTTTCTGTAAGCAAATTATTAATAGACGTATCATAATTTACGATTTTTTTTAAATTGCCTTTTAGACCGTGTAGTTCCGTTTCTGTGGGCTCTTTAACAATTTTAGGCAACCATCGGAGTACTTCGCATTCGAGGGCCAAATCTGGATTCTGATTTTGATTTTTTGTTTCTAATACTCGCTTAGCAATTTCTTTTGCGATAGCTTTTTGATGTTTTACATCTTGTGATATTATACGGTCTCGTGGTATTTTCTCAATCCATCGCAGTACATGTCTGGTTACATCATCTAATGAAGAACTATTGTGGCTAGGTATTAATTGTGCATCTTTTAAATATTTTAAAACTTCTAAAGCCAAACTTCTATGATAATTCTTATCACATTTCTCTTTAGCATCCATCGGGAATTGTTTTATTTTTGTTTCTAATACTTTAAGTATAGAGTCGTCATTAAAAGTTTTCTCAGTATCACTTATAACTCGATTTAAATCAAGGGCAAGGTCTGATACCAGATTTTCTTGAAATCGTTTTTCGTGGATATTTCGGTTTTGATACAGAGAGGTTTCTTTTAACCAGCTCATGATGGCTTTTTTAAATGCTTCGGTACATTGATTTGAGTATTCAGCCCCAGGTGTGCCCGGTGCTTGACCTGTGTAATGACGTTGATATGCTGGACGCGTAGAAAAGTCTGATAATTCTTTGTCCTCCATTATTTTTTTTAAGATAGATGTCATCCAGATTAGTTCGGTTTCATTGGGTTTCTTTACTAGTTTTGGTAACCACCGTATTACTGTTTGTTTAAGTGACGTTTCAGGATTTGAGCTTTGATTGGCTGCTTCTCGTAATCGTTGTGCAATTTCCTTGGCGACTATTCGATGGTAATTCTTATCGTGGGAAATCATGCGTCCTGATGGTATCCTTTCGATGCATTTTACTACTTCGTGTGATATAATATTTAATGAAGGATTTTCATAAATTTGGACAAGAGAGCCTTGAGACATTGTTTTAAAATGATGATCATCCTGTTGTACTGACGACAACGTTGGACTGGAATTGTAATTCTCATTCAACATTTGTTTTGGAGTCGATGCTCCTAGCGGAGTGTTTAAGATTCGCTTAATCCATTTCTTAATTCTATGCCTGGAGGAATCATCTATTGGCAATCCGTGATTTCTAAAGAAATTAAAAACAAGTTTGGATAACATTTCTTCTTTTTCTTTGGTAGAATATTTAACATCGGTTATTATCTTTTCCATTTTATCCGCCAATTGGTTTGCGGATATCATCAACTTTTCTTTTAAGTTTGAATTTAAATTACTACTGATATGACTGATGAAACTGACGACTTCGTTTTCAGTTCGTTTTGAATTGAATTGGTCTTGCCGTTTCTTGGCAGTTTCATCTCTTAGTAAAGACGATGACAGATGCATTTTATTTTTAAAACTCAAAGACATATCAATGGTGCGTCGTAATAGTGAATTGTAAACATCTTCCATTTCATTCGTAGATAAATTTGCTTCTCTTAATACAGTATACGCTTTCTCTTTGAAGTTGCTTGAATCATCAGCTCGTATTATTTGATCCGCAATTAGATTTGTTAAATCGTTTTGGAATTTCTTCTGGTTACTCACATCCCCTGCATTCGCTTTAAGTACACCAACTACTAGTTCTTTTACGTAATTTCGAATTTCCTCTTTCAATGATTTGGGTAATTTAATTGAAGACTCTGAAATATTTAAAACTGAAACTTCATAAACATGCAATAAATAGTAATAATTTATCGTATTAGTGAAATAAACTGACCCACACCCATTTTTTGGGAAATGACGTCGGCAATTTCATCTTTCAATACACTTTTCATATTATGAGCAATAGCTAAAGGTAACTGATCTACAACTTGTTTTACTTTCGATTCAATAATTTGTTGCATGTTTGAATTCTGTTTTGAATTATCACTAATGAAGTCTGAATTACAACAGATTGATGAAGACAAAGCTTTCACTTTCATTATAAGTGCTTCCATTAGTAAGCTTTCAGTTCTTGGATCCAAATTATTTGTTTTAGTAAGTTCAATAATTTTTTTTATGTCATCTTTAACTCTGTTTTGGGCAGTCATTTTATGTACATGATTTCCATTTCCCATAAACTTATCTACATTCACATCCAAAAGTGCTTTTGATTTCTCTGGTATAGTTATTTCATTACTTGTACCGTATTTACGGTTCAGTGTATCACTTTTTTTGCTGAGCACTTTATTTAATTCTTGTATTAATTCATCTGCTGCTTTATTAACAAAGTTCACATCTGGACTTGGAACGAGCAGTTTTTTAAACAAATCAGTAACTTGGGACCGTACGGCCTCGTTGTATTCGTTTCTATCTGATTTCTCATTTATTTTCAAAGTTGCAATTTTCACCATGAATTTATTTAAAATATTATCTTTTCTAACAACTCTTTTATCGAGCGTTTTTTGTTTAAAGAAAAATTTATCAATCCAATCATTGACAATTGTTTTCAAACTATTATCTCCATCTTTTAAAAGCGACATACGAATTATAAGATTTTCTATGAGATTATTTATGAACATTTCACGATCATTGCTGTCAACTGGTCGCCACATTGGCATTGTATCTAGAGCTTTTTTAATTTCATCTTTTTGTTTGTCTTCCATACCTTTAAATCTCAATAATGACTTTACTAGTGTTCTTATAACCTTTTGCCTTTTGGCTTTATCTTCTTCAGAGCAATCAGCGTTAAGTGGTATTTCCTGTTGCCAGTCGATCACTTGTTTTAGTAACTGGCCAGAAAATTCTTGTTCTTCCTTACATAAATGACAGCAAGATGAAGTATTCATATGGTTTTCAAGGCTGGTACTTCGATCGCAACATTTACCAACTTTTGAGCCTAAGTTTGTTGGAGAATCTTTTATTAACGGCTTTGGGCATTCGCATGGTATGATTTTTTTACATTTGTGACAATATTTGCAAGCTTCTTCATTTTTTTGTGGTTTCTGAGTAGTAAAAAAATTGTATTAGTGACTATGGAAACAAGTGATGACAGAATGAAATAAATTTACACCCCATCTTCAAATAATTGAGAAAATCGCATGGAAGTAAATTGCTTATTGTAAAAACGGTAATTACAATTGAAAAATACTAAAAACAAGAAATCAATAATAGCATATTTATAGAAAAAGTCAATCCACATTACGACCGTTGTATTATCTTTACCTCCGGCTCTGTTTGGGTGTTTGTCAACCCTTTTTGTGGACCTGAAAGAAAGAGATAATTACTTTAAAAGCTTATAGTTTAATGTATCACACTTATTCCATAACCTACTTACTTTTTGCACCGATGCAAAATGTCTCGCAAGCCTGGCAATAGATAAGTCATGTTTTAAATAAAAAGCAACATTAACTCTAAATGTTTTTTACAATTTCAACATATTATTTATAAGGATATAGCTGTACCATATCGTTGTTGGCATTGTGATATTCTTTCTGATGCTGCAGGAACCGTCGCTCGATTTCTGGACATACCTGTAGACCAGTCATCATAACAATTTTGCAATATAATCTTAATTTTGATATGCTTACTATTGTTATATTCTGAATAAACTGACCATGGCATCGTTGTCCCAGACATGTTTGATGGCGTCACGGATGCATTTCCTCACGTCATTCAAGTAGCGAACTTCTGCGCCCCTTCCCAAGCGCTGCAGCCGCGACATCTCTCTGAATATAGAAAACGTGAAACATTTTTCTTCTCTGTTAAATCCAATGCTCCTTCTTATTCTTCACTTATAAGAAAAGGGAAAGGGAATTAAAACTATAGATCTCCGGTATGCACACTAAACTACGCTGAATTACTTTCAGTAGCTTTTTTATTTGCTTTTTCTTCTGCTATTCTGTGCAACTCCGTGTTCTGTTTTAGGGTTCCAATGAAAACCGAGTTCCTTTCTTTCTTTCTTTGTTTCAGTAGATGCTTGTATCCTGTGTGGTCTTTTTAGTGCACCTGAACTGTCCCTATTCGTGCAACAGATTGTTGTTGGCATCTACCACTATTATGTAGTATTAGTCTATATTGTTTAATTCATCATATCGTATAGAATGATAATTTTGGTACAAGAAATAGTCACCTTAACCCAAAATCCGTTAATTGTTTCTTCGGAGTGGACATCCCTGAGGTAGTAGGCTGAACGTTCATCGCAACTTGTGCGGCCTTCTTGCTGCAGTCGCATGGGATTCTCTGGCGTTGCGGGTATAGGTGAAGTTTCCTGAGGCAGGGGACCTCGTGATGACATTTCTTGTTACGTTTCGTATGACTCTTTTTCGATTTACTGACTAAATAGAAAGAATACATCAAAAACGTTACACACAAATATCTAGCTTATAAGGGGAAATACTAACGTCGTTTAGCTAGCGTGGAAGATAACAATCGCTCTATGACTTCTGATGAGCGCGCAAACTCCGGCAGAGCTCGTGGATATTTGCGTAAAGATTGTGCGAACGAATCCGCGACTTGGGCCACACGACTCTTACGAAACGAACCTTAAAACAAGAAGAAATTCTAAAGATGCTCTATTGACAACGTCTCTATCGACCTACAACGCAAAAACAAAACTTTAACAACTTAAACGACGAGGATTTATTGCTACTTTATTGATATAAATAGCTGTTCCCGTGCGGCTTCATCCGCATGAAATTATAAAAACTTTATTTTATTGTTTACATTTGTCATATTCTCAATTGCAAATGTCAAAATTCAATTGTACAAAAGACAACGAACACATTTGACAATGGATAACAATTACCGCTACCATGGCAATCTTGATTCCTTAATGTTGGCAGCTTGAAGTAATGGTCCCTTTCCCACATCAAGGTTTGTTCCAATTTATTTACCCCCTAAGTTTAATAGCGTGAAAATATATAGCCTCAAGCGTTTCATAAGTGTACGGTTTTATATTAAAGAATTATTCCAAAATATGCTGTGCATCCTACACCACGAAGTAGTGTGTTTACGCTTTATTATATTAGTATTATATAGATTTATTATATAGATAATACCTAGTGAGTGGACACTTCTGTGTTCACGTCGCTCCTTTGCTCTGTTATCTTATAAAGAAACGTTATTACCTGTTTGTGCTTCTTGTACAGGATACTCTGTGGGAGCAGCGGAAGCTGATGCTGAGATAACATTACAATGTGCGATCTGTAAATTAACATTAGTAACACGTGATTCAAATATTGGTATTGCTTAGTGCATGATATACAAGAAGGAAGTGTTTTATGTTGATACCCATTCATCATCATTATCCTCTTTATCCTACTCCCGTAGCGGCGTAACAGGTTTTTGTCCTCCACATAACTCTATCATACTCATTCCCCCTATATACCCTTTTTGATCATGTCACCGTTCATGCTCCGTCCATCTCTTTCTACGTCTACCTGTACCGGTGTACGATGCGATTTATCTCTCCTTCTAACGTGCCCATGCCATGCTAACCTTTTACTCCTTACCTTTCCTACTACGGGGGCTACTCAAACTTCCTCTAATATACTCATTTCGTATCTTATCCATTCGTGTTACCTCATACCTATTATCGGTAGTTAAAAAACACAATTAACAATATTGTCTTCACCTGATATGTTGCGACTAATCTGTCGTGATGCGTTTGAAATCCAGTCGAAGCTTGAATCGAGATCTTTGCATCGATTTGGGATGATTTTGATTGACATTGTTCTTTTTGTATACCTGTGAATCATACTTTAATATGCGAAAGTTTACGTGGATGGATAACATTTGGCATAGATGCAGAACATAGTCTGGAAAAACACAAAAGCTACTTACCAAGGTATTTAAAATTCAATTCTAAATAAAATAAAAAGGCAATAGTAAGATAAATCTTGTAATGATTTACTAAATGACATTTAACAACTCTGTGGTAATAAAATTACAATATGTATTTCTGTTGGTATTGAAACATTCTGAGATAAATAACTATTTACTATAAAAGAAGAAAGATTTGTATTTTTGTATGTTTTGAAATAACTCAAACTACTAGGCCAATTTCAAAAATTACTTTATTAAAAACCTACGTTATCAGTGAGTAATTAACATCTTACTAAATTTTATAAATGCGAAAGTTTAGATGGATGAATGGATGGATGTATGCTTGTTAGAATTTGTAGCCTAAACGGCTAACCGGATTTCGATTAAATTTGGTGCAGATGTAGAGGATAGTCTGGAAGAACACACAGGCTACCTAATTTTGTAATACCACGCGGAAGTCGTGGGCGAAAGCTAGTAGACTATATTTTACGAATTCAACAGCTAGTTCTAAGATAATTTACAAAATCACTTACTGGATATTGGTTGTATGATAAATCTGCTTTTAGTGTCCTCTGACGGTTGGTTTTCTATTATAATATGCATGGTTGTTGGCTGGTTGTTTGTTATACTGACAGCAGTGTCTGTTGCGTCCATCTTGTGTAGTTTAGTTGTACGGGAGAGGGATGTGCTGATACCAAGAGGTAAAGCAATTTAATTGATTTATATATACTATTATTATAAAGGTTTGTTTGCATTGAAAAGACTCGAAAACTACTCAACATATTTGAGAAATTCTTGAACGTTAGGAAACAACACTATCATCGGGTGACGGCCATTATTTTTTACTAGATCTCTTTTTATGGTAAATCATCGGGTACGAAGTCGAAACTAGTGTTTTGTAATTTCATATATGTAAGAATCATTTATAAAAATAATACTTAGAAATTAGAAATACAGATATCTTTAACACTAGATGAATTACTACAAATAACTTTTTTTACTTAGTGTATTCAATCATCCATATATCGATATATTAACTACAGTCTTAGCAATATAAAGAACTATCGAACATGTTAGGGGTAACAGAACTCTCGTATGTTATAAGAAACTGTTAAAATATTATGATTAACCAAGTGATGTGGGAATACAAAGGGTTTAACACAATAGATATTGTTAAAGACATCCCATAGGTGTTCCTACGACAGGAAACCATATTGTTCTGATAGAAAAAGTTACGTAAATCCAAGCTTATGTCAGACTTCAAAAGGCTATAATAATTTTAATATGTATGATATATTTACTAAAAAGTGTTAAGATTGAATGTGGATGGCTACAAAGGCGAGGAAGACCGAAGAAAGTTTGGATGGATTGTGTGAAAGAGGATATGCTTAAGAAAGTAGTGGATTCAGATATGACGGCTGATAGAGATGTATGGAGCAGTACATACTGTGCCGACCCTCTGTAACTGTAAGGGCTAGTGGATGATTACAACATATTTTAGCCCGCCATTATTTTATCATTAGCGACATCTGTTCAGTAAGCATTGCCTGTAATATCAAGGTCGTTAGAAGTAAGCAAATTGTATCACGTACACTAATCCTACGGTCGACGTTGTTTTTAAAATATTCTCATATTCTTGTTGCCAATTGAATAGTTACTAAAATAAACCTAACCATTATTATTTACATAATACAAGTGTGGTTATGAAACACCCATTTAAATAGATAATATCTCTTTGCAGATTTTATTTTAGTACATTTCTAGTACCGAAAACTATTTTGAAAGTTGAATTGGAATATTGATATCTATCTCTTTCTACATTTTACTTCACAGTATTCAAAAGAAAAGGATAGTGATATATTTATCTTTATTCAGACTTAGTCAGTTAATTTTTTAAAAGTAATTTTATAATCTGGAATACTGACAGTCATTTTAAGTAGTCGCAGGATCGAGTAGGCGAGGTCAGGCCGGTAACAGCCGCGCCACTCCTCTACAGGAAACACTGACCTGCAACAAAAACCCATCACACTATCTCACCAACTAACCAACTCACCTTCACACCATCACAAAACCTCACCATCATAAAACAACTTTTCTCTATTGTAGCAAAAGCAGTATTCTTTTGTTCTCAACGTACCAAATCAAATTCTACGGTTGATTCGGCGCTTGATTAGTTCTAATTTCATGATGTTTCTATTATTCCGCTTTAAGAATTTCACCCATAACATTATTTCGAAACAATATAATACCTTACATCATTTCACGTCAATGTTATGAAAGAATTCTTAATATTAATGCAAATAGTTTATGTTCCCAGAGAAAGTTATGAATACCATTTTGTCCCATCGTCTTCGGTACTATTATATCGTTTATCTATATTATGATAAAAACTGTAAAAGGGTATCTAGGATTTAATGTTATAGCATTGTTTGTGACAAATATAGAAGATCTATCGTTTTGAAATGTTCTAGTTTCAGTCAGTAGTTTATTCCACTCTTCCGAGTTTAGTTTTTAGAGCGAATAGATGGTGAGGTGATGAGAATTTGAGTTCCACTTCTTTAGAGTTACGTCTTTAAGTCTTACTTCAATGAAAGCCATGCTTAAGATCTATTCTAGTTAATCTTTCCGTCTAACAAATGAGTGAAATACTTACATTATTAACAAAGATTTACCAGCCAGTTAATTACTGCACCATACGTCGTATAAAATTTTGCATTTCCTTAGTAACTACGCATTCTGTTCTTATCAAATATATTTTAAAAAGTCAATATGTCTTATTGAAATGCTTTTTCTTCCTTTTACTGTCAAGCATTCAAGAATAATAAAAAAGGATTAAATTGAATGTTTTATTAATAGCATCCAAAAAGTCTATTTTTAATTATTTACTCCTAGCTGTGGCTCGCGACTTCGTCCGTGTGAAATAAAATAAAATAATAAAAAACATAGCCCATGTTACTCACTGATAAATTACCTTTCTAACGGTGAAGGAATTTTTAAAATTGGTCCAGTAGTTTTTGAGTTATTTCAATACATACAAAATTACAAATAATTCCTATAATATCAGTATAGTTAGGTTAAATTTGGCAAACATTTCTAGATTCAATGAAGCCAAAGATGCTAGGAGCCTTCAATTGGTTGTCGAAATTGGTAGGAATCTTGACCAACAAGTAGAATTACGAGTAACTTGCCTACGCTAAAAAAGTGCTTAATCCAAAAAAAGTTGAACTATTTTATTGTCAACTTTATACAGTAAAGTATTTCATAATATCGGCACGATTGTAGAAATATTTTTTCTTGCTGTATAAAAAAAAGGTTAAGAAACCAACGTTAATTTGACCGCACGCTGTTCAATTGTAAAAAGCGTTACGAAAAACGTGGCCTAAAGAAACGTACTTATAAAAATACTATAGAATAGTGTATAGCCAATTAATGTATCGTTATTTAAGACCAAGAGTAGCTATTCCCCTACTAGCTGTTGTAGATACCATTCGCGCGGAATTTAAAAAAAAACTATGTGTTCTTTCTGAATATGTCTGTGGCTTTGATCAAGATTCGTTTAGTTGTTCTGTAGATACATTCTAACAAACATCCATTTATCTAAACTTTCTCATCTATACTTCTATTCTAATAATTATAATGAAGCGTAAACACACACTTCTTTGTTGCCTAAGATGTCAGCAATTACGGCATATTTTTGAATAATTCCTTTTTCAATAAAAAGCTCTACACTTACGTCACGTTCAGGCTATATATTTTCAAACCATTAAACTTAGGAGTTAAAAATTTTGGATAAAAACCTTAATGTGGAAAAGAGACCATAAGTTGCTGCCAACATTAAGAAAGCAAGATTGCCATGGTTTGTCAGTGTCATGTCATTTTGACTTTCGCAATTGATAATTTGACACATATAAACAATAATAATATGTCTAACTTAGCAAAAAATAAACTAATGATTATTTGTAAGATTATTACAATGTTACAAATAAGGAACCAATAACTAAGAGTTGAAATTGTATTGAAATGACTAAAAAAATAATTAAACATATTGTTTATTTCATTTTGAACTAATTCTGTTAATTCCTGATACATTTCGTCGTCAGTGGCTTCATATTTCTTCTGAGAATCTTTCATAATATTTTTAATTTCTTTCTGTTTTTCAACCTTTTTCAAATCTTTTTCTGTTGTAATGTTCTGTTTATCTTTTAACTTTTGTATTTCATATTTTACTAAAGCATCAACCAATGGTTTTGTTAGATTTTTTTCCAGGCAGGCATTACGTAGGGGTCCAAAATGATTGCAATGGTTTAAAATTAAGTCTCTATAGAAATCCTCGTCAAGTCGTGTTGCTAATTCACTTCTACTAACATTGTTTTCAATTGTTTTCGCTAAATTAATCAAAAACATCCTACTCTGTCTACTACTTAGTCGATGCAAGGCTGAAGTTTTAGGCAATTTGTTAAACCAATCTGATATTAAAATAATATAATCTAATTCTGTCTTTAACTTATCATATGGTGTATCTTCATTCTCAACTTGGAGAGTTTCCATTTTGGAATACTGCGTGTAAACATTTTGCATCACATTGCTCAGAATATTCCAGAATACATCTTCAGCTATACGTTTGTTCAAATTGGGTTCGCTAAAAAATGTCATCAAACATTGCTTCATTATATTTTCAAAAACTGTACCATTATTACATCCCTCAACATTTGATTTATTATTTTGATTGCTACGTGAATACTGAAAGATTTGGCTTTTGAAATCCTTCGACAACGTTTGTAGACAGATATTCTGTTCCGATTCAATTATATTTTTCAACCAACGTTTTAAAATTGATGTCAAGTTATTATTACAACGTTTATTGTTTAGCTCGTTGTAAATTATAACAGCGAAATCATGAACTAACTTCTTGCTATCTGATTCCGTTGAAATTTCAGTTGGCCGTTTACTTAGCCAAGATAAAAATTCACCATTCAACAAGTCCATATTTTCATTTATTTTACAATTCATCTTTGGTTCAATATCTTGTAATATATTCAATCTACGTGGAGATTGTAAAGAAATATCTTGCAATTCACATAACAGTTCATTTTTGTATAATAAAGCTTCATCTGAATTTTTAACAAAGCCAAGTAAGGATAACCATTTTGATATTACATCTCCTATAGTTTCCTTATCACGACTATCTTCTCCAACGGGTGGATCAGACATTTGATCAGTTATTTCCTGAGCGAAGTCACCACTTATAGACTCCATAACAGTTCTGTTTCTCAACTTACCATAATTTCTTGGCAACTTTTCAATCCAAGCTCTAATAAGAGAGGACACTTTGTCAACATTAGCTGTATCTTCTATACCATGTAAGCGATCTATGTTTTTATTTCTGAATTTATTACGATTTTTATCAAAATAAGAACAACAAGAGGAATTGTAATATTTTTCATCCACTGAACTTAATGATATCGACAATAGACTTGGTACGTTATTTTTCTTAAAATTTTTCAATCTAACTATTGAATTCCTTGATTTCACATCTCTTAGAATTTTTAGTGTCATTCGTGAGAATGGAGGATCTCTAGTAAGTGTTCTTTCAATCTGAGAATATGAACTCATGTTGAGTTCCATAGCAACGAATTGACTTTCTCTATATGGTCTATTTATGTTTGATTTTGATTGATAAATACCATTACTACTTGCTTTACCAACTGCGCGAACTTTGCTTGTATTCGACATTCGTAGCGTAACCGGCTTGCCTATAGATTCACGCCTTAAAGAATTATTCATATAATGTTCAGGATTTAAATAACTTAGAGTTTTACTAAAGCCTAAATAAGCATTGTTATATATTGTCAACTGTTCAAAGTTATTTTGTGCATTCATCAGTATGTTTGTCAACTCCATTGCGAGACCATTTAAGAAAATTCGGTTTTTAAATAAAGCCATTGTCAAAGGCAAGGTATCCAAGACTTCTACGATCCCACCTTTTATTAAATACTTGCTTCTCTTTGTGCTTTTATCCATCAAACATGGTAGGAGCCGATTTAAAAGCATCTTCGTTATGTATTTCAAATTCAACGGTGCTCCATCTTCACTTTTCAAATTCTTCGATTCGAGCCAAGTAAATATTTCGTTTTCAAACATGCTGACTATTGGTACTTGGAATATTTCTTTACTGCTTGCATAATGATTCACATCGAGATCATCTTGGAAGCTAGTCGGAGCATCGTAAAGATATTTACTATTCAGTATCATAATCCTAGTAATAAGGCTCTCTGTCAGTATATATCTGATCTTTGCACATTTAGTGCTATGGTATGACATAGGCAAAGAGTTTAAACAATGATCTATCTCTCGTTTGAGCTTCACTTCGTACCAATCCTCGTCAGCTTCAACAGACAGCTTGTCTATTTTCTCTATTAAATTATTAACAATTTTTTCTGTTACTATTTTAGCAGTTGAATTAAATTCAGATTCGATAGGCACTTCGCGCAGCCACTGAAGTACTTCGTACTGCAAACGTTCCTTGTAGAAATTCTTAAATGATACCGTCGTGTTGCAAGACTGGTTGCGAGCAAAAAATTCACCAACGTTTTCTGCGTTCATAACTTCACTAGCGATCTTGGCCATTGCTTGTTTGTCATCGTGAAAAATGTTACAATTAGTTCCTACGTGGCATTTCATATCAATACTTGTTTGGACTAATTGGTCAGCAGTTTTATATTTAGAGATCTGAAAGAAAACAGAAAGGAAAAATCAGGCACGCTAATATTTTTAAAGAATTCTATTGCTCTTATCAGCTCAGAATATTCATATCTATTATCATGTTCTAGTAATTAAGTACCTCCTGTTTTCGTCACCCTTATAAAATTCTTTATCTGTTCAGTTTATTTGTTTTTTTATACAATAAGGCGGCAAACGAGGAAGCGGCCAACTAAATCAACCAAAATGGCGAAGCGACCACTGCCCATAGACATCCGCAACTGCAGATGCATTACCTACCCTAAATCGACGGAGAAGGAGACGCACATAAAGTGGATATCTCCAATTTCTATGCGTCTTCACCGTCAAATCCACTTTCCCATCCAATCCTTTCTTCATAAGAAAAGGGTGAAGCGGTAAAGGGACTAAAATATTACCAAGATTGCAAAATCAAAGCTAGATAAGTTAGAAGACTTAAAATTACTAACTTTAATGCAGGACTTAGGTTCTTTATTCTCCAACGACAATTTTTTAAATTTCACAGTATGACATTTGTGTTGATGATCTTCCCAACGTTTTCTGATCTTTGGACAACGGGATTCATTGCATAGTTGGCGCTGCAAACATTTTTAAAACCAAGTATACTTTATTCACATTTGTAGCGTATAAATCAGATATATTAAAAGTACTTGTGTCCGTTAATATGAAATTTCCTTTTTACATTATCTTTTATTAGTACTATTTTGCTAAAGCAACTTCTGTAGAAATATAAATACTAAAATCAGAAAGAGCACAATTGCTGTAGTATTTGTTAATAATATACTATTCTTTTATCTGGAACTTTTAGGTTAGTTTTGAATTTAACTGTAAAGGTCTACTTACTTTGAATGGTGCAATCCTTTCCTTTAGTTTTCGTATGTTTTCTAAATAGTTAAATTCCATCAGGGATAGATCCCGAGCGTGCCTTCAGTCTACAAATCTTCAGCTCTTTCTAGAACTGTTATCATGACTGTTGTGATGTGATACAATATTTACCAGAACAGAAAGTAAGTAAATGACATCTTGCCAAGCTTGTTTGATGTTGTCTTGTGAGGATACATTTTTGTATAGTTACATATTAGCTTGACTGTGAATTTACCTTAAAATGTAAGACAGCGTTTTGACTGTGTCAAAATGATTGGCAGTTTTATTCTTTTTTTTACTACGATTTTCTAACGATACAGATACGCTATATCATGGTTTGGTTAATTTTCTGACGATATTTCATCATGTGAAAACTTTTGCTGAGTACAAAAGTTGATTAATCAAATAAATATGCTTTAAGTTTAAGTATAGATTTTACAACAATAATAAAAGTGCCTAACGTGAAACGTAAAATTAATTACATTTCTAAAAAGAGATTAAAACAATATATAGAGGAGGCATAATACACTACTTGATTCCCATCTCACTAACGCCATCTATTATTAGATTCCCAAAAGAAGGAGGTATTCAATTCGACGATATGTTTTTTTTTATTATTTTTTTATGTGTGTTATGGAATAACTCCGCCGCTAGTGGACCGATTTGGATAATTCTTTTTTTATCCGAAAGGTAATGCTTGCAGGTGGGTCCCATTTTTTTGTTTAATTTTTGGAGTCTATTAAATAATATTGTTGTTCATTTTATAACAAAGATGGAGCTTGTAATAATTTTGTAAAATGTTTTATTATTTGTCAATACAAGACACGAGGTAGCACTAAACTTGACAACTCGACTTAGGGCCTTCAAAAAAGAGCGTATTCCTCCCTTAAAGGCCGGCAGCGCATCTGCAGTTCCCTTGGCGTTGCGGATGTTCATGGGCGTCGGATCACTTGATACCAAGCGATTCGCTGCTCGTTTGCCCGCTTTTTTCTATATAAAAAAAAAACTGATTTATACCAATAACGGTCTATATCAGTACCTTTACAAAATGCATTCCCTATGAGTAAATTGTGTAAAAGGTGACAAAATTAAGGCCTAACGAGAAATAAGCAATCATAGATTTAATGACCAATAACTGGTGCACAGACCTGACTCAGACTAGGTTATAGAAAGGTGTTTTAATAAAAGAACATAGTTAAAAAATGTTTAGTTAAGGCACTATTACTTTTCAGTGCAAGTACCGGTGAAAAAATTGTTCATTATGCCTTATCTATTTATGTTTTAATGTCTTTGATTATACAAAACGTTTTATTCTTTTCTTATAGAATACTGGCCAGTGGAAATCTAGAAGTACATGTCAAATTTCCGATAGAAATTACTGACATTTTTCCGACATGTTAATAAGAAAATGTACTAGAATATAATTCGATTTAAGATTAATTAAATGAATTGGTTTAAATTCTTCTAAGTGTTGTAAAGATGATTCAAAATTTTTGTGTATAAAAAAGTTTATTTTTACAGTGTAATTTTATTACATCGAATAGCTAAATTTTAAAACCTATCCTATTTTTCATTAGAGTTAATATTAGGCTTGAAATGTAAGTAAACCTTGGCTAAAAATTAATAATTTCTGGTACAAATCGGTTGTCGATGACTACTATTTTAGATAATGAATCAGTCAAGACAATCTCTCAGACTTACGTAGTTTTATTGTTTTATAAAACACTAGTTTTCGGACTCGACTCCGAATTAAAAAAAACAACAGTGACTAGCCTATATGTTCTAGACTATCCACTACATCTGTGCCAAATTTCATCAAGATCCATTCAGCCGTTTAGGCTACAAACTCTAACAAACATCCATCCATCTAAACTTTCGCATTTATAATATTAGTAAGATTGTAGTGTGATTACAAAGGATGTGCGTTTATTGTAACAGCAAACTATATTTGCAGGTTAGCGAATCATGGTACAGACAATCAAGGACATCCGTGTTCTTGCTATTCTTCGCTGCGAATAATGAAAATGACTGTAAGACACATTTTAGTATAAAGTTTGCTACTGACGAAAACTCTTGGAGCTTGCACACTTTTGACTAAACTATCGCAGAACTGTGTAGTCCCGTTTTATTCCAATGAGCTTATATGGAAGTGCGCACACTACTCGATTTTTAGTTGTGCAAATAAACAGTTGAATTGGCTGCGAAACAATCGACAATCGCACAACAGTTGTGCGATAGTAAGCTGTAAAAAGATTTATTATAGGAATATTTATAAGTCTAAAGGTTTATACACATGCCAATAAAATGGTGTAGTAGTTGTCACACCACCTACTGGCACAATGCGTTTATACATGCCAGTAAAATGTCGACAAGAGTGTATGTCTGACGTGTTAGTGTCAAATTTTGTAACATCCCTCGTCTCATAAACGTACATAGTCGCTGTCGCACAAATATCTTCAGCAAAACATGACTGGTTGGCACGTACCAGTTGCTGGCGTGCTAATATTCCAGCTACTGGCATGTATGCCTCGCTTAATGTGTTATAGCACATCCCGTCGGGCTCGATGTGAAACGTGCAGCGATGGACAGCAAAGGCATGATGGCGGTCGTGCGCGGCCTACCCGACTCCGGCCTCATGGTCACCCTTATGGACGGCGGCAAGCAATACACGCTCATGCCTAAAACTGGTTACTTTACCTTTTACCCCCTTGTCTTAATTCAAAGAATATGCTTAATAAACTGCTTATATACAATCTTATAGCATAGTCAATTTAATTTAGAGAACAAACTGTTTTACGCTGTTACGAACATATTGGTTTTTCGATTCTAGATCTGATCTTAGATACTTTTATAATTTAATTTTGATTGCGTATCGTTTGTGCCAAAAACTTGCAATGTTGGTACAAGAAGGGGCTTTATAGCGACCCTTGAGGGAGTCATTAATCAAACATCTTATATTGTTATTAATGACCCTACGGGAGTGTGACAAGGTAGAGGAGATGATGATGGTATTGATGTAGGTATAAGCACATCACCGACGTACGAAGTGTGCAATAACTGCTTGTCGCGGCAGTCGCAGTGCGGCAACAGCGAGGTGAGGCCGCGGCAAGACAGCGGTGCTCAGGCAGTCGACGGACGTTATGCAAGCAGTTATAAGGTAAACAAGGTATTATGTTTTTCTTGTTAGACTTGAAATTGAACTATCATATACCATCCAAAGAAAGTTAAGTAATAAAGCTAATCCCGTCGCATTATTCCCAGTCGTCACCCCGCTCTGTCCCCACGTGAGAATAAATAGCTTCATCTGTCCCACCTAGTCCGACTAACACCAATAAGGTGACAGATGGAACCGTTATGAAATATAATAAGTTCCAACCATCCCCGTGTCGCAAAAGTTGGTACGGATGAAGCATTTTATTCTCATCTGTCTCTACGTGGGGACAGAACAGGGTGACGGATGGGAATATCCATCCCGTGTGGCTTCATCCACGTGATATTATAAAAACTTTAATGCAAAAGTCAAAATTCAAATGCTCAAAAGACAATGCTGAAAATTTTAGTAACCACAGCAACCGTGATTCTTTGTCGTTATTGGCTTTTAGTTTTTGTTCCTTGCTCACGGAGCAATTGTTTATTAACTCACTTAGTTATAATAACCTAAAGCGTGTTGTAAGTGTAAGGTTTTATTTAAAACGGACGATTTAAAAGTATTGCTGACATTCTGCATAACGAAGTAGTGTTTACGCAGTATTATTTTAAGTTTAGAGTACAGATACTCGTATTATAAAATCTTTGTAAACTCAGATAGAGTACTGCAACATGAGGCCTACATCGCCCCCCGTAGAGTTGACTGAATTCCCACCACAGAAGTCACGGTTACAGCCAGGTGAGTAAAACTCCGAAAACATAGTCTAAGACGTAGGAGAAAGTAAATGAGTTCCTTGTTTATGCATTTCATTGTAGGTCGCGGTAACTTTGAAGTCGGTGGTATTGGCAGCGGCGGTTCCTCTCCAAGGGCTACGGGCAAAAG